CTCTCTCTCTCTCTCTCGCTCGCCCTCTCTCCGTCTTTACTCCCTCGACTACCGATTGCCGCCTGTCAATCATCGAAAAAATAAATCTCGAAGTTGATTTAAACCGATACGTGCGGTAATTGACAATGGCTTATCGTATATCTGCCAGGCAGCGATTTCAAAACGGACGGTGCTCGGAAATGGAGAGCACGCGAATGGAAGAGAGAAGTAGGTATGCAAATAATCTATATCGTGTCTCCTTACGCGGCATCTCTCCGGTTTTGACATCACGCGTATAGAAAAATCGACTGTAATTCGATTTAGTGTTCACTTGATAAAAATCGACTTCTCTCCTCTTCGCCATCGGCTTCCTGAGGAAGAAACGCTGCGCTGCGAGAATGTTAGAAGACAGAGAAACGGCACTTTATCAACGGAGATATAAATTGCGAGATATGTCTCCATATCTTGAGTGTGCACGATTTTGAGAGCGACTTTCGCCTCGTCCCACCGATCTCGCATTCCGTCTGATTTAACACGGATTCGATAGAAATCGCATCTTACGGAGTTCATCCGCATTTACAGTACGATGCAACTGCCGAATAAAAAGGATTTATAATCAAGATGAATACAGAGGAAGGGGTAGAAGAAACACATCAGTGAGATACAATTGTAAATTGCGCCATGTATAGAAATTATATTCCAGTTGTCTACTTGACGTTTAGCATTATTCGGTATTCTAGAATAGCATCATAAAATCATTATGTATACATATAACAGTATATATATATATATATATATATGCGTATTATATATGCGTGTGTAACAATGGATATACAACATGTCGCATATTATGGATGTCAAGTTGAAATTAAGATCGACAATTCTGGGACAGCTTGATAGAACCACGAGAGTGATATTATGAGAATGTTAAAACAAGGAATCAGGTCAGGATATTTCTATCTTTAATACCTGAATGTATGCCATGCGAACTGTTACACATTCAATCAATCAATTTACGTACTACTTACGTTTGTCAATTGAGAAGTTACAATGTAGAAAATATATAATACTTACAAGTATAGTCATCGAACAATTACATTACAAAATCACCCCTCACTCTTTCAAGTCTCTCTGTTCTATTATAAGGCATTTTTCATAAAATATAGAAACAAGAAAATTTCTCAATAAAAAGACAAACGATCATAATTATATAAAGCCCATATTTTTATAATCTACTAAAGAATTCAGCCAAAATCAATCTTGAGACAGTTCAATAAAAAACTTAAGAATCAATTTGATATTCAATATTTGCAATCGCGATTTAATTTAAGAAGTCAGATGAAATTTGTAGAATTTAAAAAATGGTTATTAGCATCGGATTATTAATATCCTTTTAAGATGTCTATTGACATCAATAATATTATTAAATTGCTTGTCAATTTATTACTACTTTAATTCCGTTTATAATTGCATTTCAAGACTGAAAATTTATTTCGATGCACAGTTTGCAAGATTGAATATAAAATTCAACACCGAATTATAAGTATAAGATCTAGCTCAGACTGTATAAAACTTTCATTTGTCAGTATATTCATATTACGGTCTTGTAGACTTTATTTAATATTGTAGATGAAATTTGTCTTAAGACATAGCATGAATTTTATTTCTCGCGACTCAGTATTTAATTCTTAAGAGAAATGTACGTAAATATATGTATAACATACATATATAAATGGTTCTGTGAATTTATTATGAACACATATTCGATATAATACGGTTTTTCATTACATGATAAATTGATTCGATGATTAATATATTATCAACCCTAAAGAAACGCTATAAAAGCATAAACTATATTTTTCTAAAACGATATAAATATAATAAATTTATAATAGAAAAATTGTCAAAGCACTGTTCGCTGAATCAGATTTATAAAAAAATGTATGGTAATTCTACGAGCAACGTCATATATATTATGATACATAGCAAATCTGCAACGGAAACGCGACATAAAGCTGAGAGATCGCGATCATCCCTCATCCTTTAAAGTCACCCTTCAATTTTTCTTGACAAAAGAAGGGCTTTTGCACGGAAACGCACGAAAAGCTTTTGCGCGAGTGAGCAAGTCATCGAACGGCAATGACGATACGAAATTTTCGATACAAATCCGATACATCGTTCGTGACAAGGATAACTTTAACAGCTTTTATATCGCCAAAAAACTTCTATTGAGGACAGACCGCTAATGTACGGGTTCGCTTTTTCCGTTTTATTCGCGTGAGAGTTCTTTGTTAATTGTACCGCGTAACTGTATAGACGAGAGAGAACAACATGCGATTTTTTATATAAATCGTTTTACATCTTATACCAATCTCCACTATACTTTTCTAGAAAATAAGTTATAAATGATGTAATTGTAATACGTAAGAAATCCGAATTAATATAAATATTGAAAGATGATTTTTTACTTGTCTGGAATCTTCTTTAAATAAAAGCATTCGTTAATTAGGAGAATAATACTTGCATTATCTATATTTATGCGTATAAATAGTAAGATCTAAAGAGATCACGTACTAATGATATTTTTCGAGCGGAAATAAAATTAACTATAAGGGAAGAGGTGAGTAAAATTCAGAAATTCTGAGGAAACCGTAATCTTCGCATTGTAATGAGAAATTACGCGACGAACTAATGGGAGATAAGAACATCCCCGCTCTTATTCAAGGTATTTACGTACAAAGGGTCGTTTGTCGAGAGGACTTAGCGACGTAGCGACGAGATCATAAAGCATGCACGAAACTCTTTGCCCGCTTCCTTCTGCTCCGCACCCTTTTTCCACGTCAAAGGATATATGCAAAAATGCATGCCAGACGGCGCTTTCGCAGGCGCATAAAATGCATAGTAAATCGCAATAAAAACAATGAAGTTAACATGCAAAATACCTTTCAACAATTCCCAACGCGGTCATTACGGTAATTTAATTATCGATCGATTCTAGAGACGTGCGTGTTAGACTACTGTATATCGTGGTTGTTTGCCTACAACATAAATCGCTTTATAATTAAGAAGAAACTTTTCGAGACCGCCGCACATGTAGGGAATAAATAAATAACACAAGCTTGCAGTAACGAACAGACAGACAATCAATATTAATTTAGTTATACTTCACAATCGCGAATTGTCATCGACAGCGATTGATGGCGCTGAATCTCGTATATCTATAGACATAAAAGAAATTTAATATTACTATTCTCATCTCTTTCGCGACGTTTAATGATGGATTCGTTAAATATTCTCGAATTACGATTATAAAATTGAAAGTTGAATTACCGATAATGATCGCCATCGCGGAACGTCCAGCATTGTTCAAAGTATCCGTCGATAACAACCTCAAGAAAAGCGTTTCACGGAAGAAACTCGTATGCTTCCGGCGGGGGATGTATTTGTAGTTAACTACTATGAGCTATTACTTGTAGCTATATTACTTGTAGATAATGATGTAAGTAGGCAACTTCTATAAGAGCATCTAGCTCTCGTTCAAGATATTCGCATATAGAGGGTTGTTTGTCAAGCGGATTTACCAACGAGATCATATAAACCGAGCGAGGGAATCTGAAACTCTTTGCCCCTATTACATTTATAATACTCGTTCGCCTTGTGCGTCACAATATGCCATCGAAAAATGCGTCTTTCAAGGCGGTTGATGTATAGACGAGCGACGTTACTGTCATGAAAAGAATATTGAATAAAATTCGTTAATTGATGTAAAAATCGAGGAAACTCTTTATCAAGAAAAGAGAACTCATATATTATTAAATTATATGTATATTAACTCTTTATGGATGGGTGACCTTATTTGAAGTCATCCCTTTTCATTTTGTAAACTACTCGTACAATTTTTATGAAACTTGGTCTGTGGAGTAATTTTATAATGCTTTATTTA